TTTACAGCATCCGTGGTTCTTTTGGTTTTTATTTAGTATCAGTAACGTATTTAATTTTGGTGCTAGAAACAGATGATATGTTTGAATTGGTGCGATAGTGGAATAGCAAGAACTCCTGGTGTTTAATCCAAACATTGCAGGCCGAAGCCCATTATGTCAGATTCAATACAGCACACTATCCCAAATGCTTCTTGCTGAAGATGGCGCGAGGATCAGTTTGACCATAACAGTTTGGCAAATAAATTCCCTATCTAGTGCTAAACTAGTACTCAACCTGCCAAGATACCTTCAATGGCATTTCCCAAACAGGGGATCTCTATCACCCAAATAAGCAAGAGCAAGAGTCAAATGGAACATCACCATTTACAAGTTTCCCGTCCAAGACACACTCCATCAGATTTGGACTCATCATCGCTGAATCAAAATTCTTGAACACACGCTGTGGGCGCTGATGTGTACCTGCACCAGATGGACTACAGCAATTCCAGAAGGGAACTCACCATCACATTCTCAAGGCTGATTAGGGATAGCCCTAAATGCTGCCTTATGTCCGATGGTCACATCACAGGAAACAAAAATAAGAGAGTGTGAGAAGCCTTGAGTTCAATTCCTCATCTATGTGTGGGATACTATAAAGGTGGTTTCAGGTATTTCAGCAAGGATCAGTCAGGATTCCTGGTCCAGATTACTATCCAGGAGCTCGAAACTTTCCATGTTCATATTTTATGAGGTCATGGTCTGCTTCAATTCCGAACTGAACATTGTTAACACTGACTGTCTATACTTATCTGAATGATTGTTATTTAGCTGAAATATTGGAGGGTTGAACATAAAGAGATCGAATGAAATTAGGTCGGTTGATCATCTGTGAAAGCATTGTAGCCAAATCTAAACATGTCCTCATTCAACATGCACACACTTCCCACCAAGTGAGCTCTGAGTTACTTTTGTAAAGCTGCAAGTACGAACAATAAGGATGCATTATTTGTAATTCAGCATAACAACGAAGGCTGACACAAATAACACACAACACCAAACGATATATTGTTCAAATAACATCAGCTACTGAGAAACTTAGAAACAGCACATATTCCGAATTAAAAATTATACAAAGTAGCAAAACAAAACAAAACCAGTGTCTGTAAACAGAAAATGAATTATAACTTTCCATGTGCAACCAGTCATCAGAACTCAGCACACATCTTTGCGCCCAAATCAGTCATGGACAGCAACATAAGGTGCTTTTGTTTCTTGTTTTTTTAAACCATTGATACCATTACACATCTGAATAAGTCATAAGCACAAGAGTTGTACAAACCTGACTCATCCACGACTGGCAAAGCAGAAACCCTTCTTTCCACAAATATACTCAGCGCTTTAATAATCGGAGTGTTTGGATGGATAAAGGCAATATTAAGGTACGTTCCTATTCCTAGTTCCTCCAGTGTTTTCTTCATAAAGGCAGGCTTTGGCATCTCAGAGACCTGTTGGATCACAAAATGAAAATTATTTACTAGAACTGGATAATATTTACTGGATAATCCAGGGTGTGCAAAGTATTAGACAGGCAACCAATTTAGGATCATCATTTGGGCTGGCAGTGTGACCTACTTGCATGTACTGGAAGCTAAATATATGTAAGAGACAGGTCCTGGCTCTTTGCAGACAGAACTAACTTGTACACACACTGCAGCTGCTTCATCTCAACAAAATAACTGCCTTATTTCTGAGGACAATACCATAAAATCATAGTCAACCTGCCTGGTTTAAAATTTAAACAAGGTTTGGTAGTTAACTGTCAGTCATTGCAAACTGGTGCATTTGCTGTGGCAATGCCCTATCAGTCTACTTGCCAACTATTCGGCATGCTCCTCTCGTACATTATAAGTGGACAAACTGTATGCATATTCAGCGTACTGTAGCTCTGTACTACCAGACACCTGTTCATGTATTTGTTTCGAGTTACTTAAAAGCAATTCCACCCTCAGCATTTTCGCAGCTGGACTACTGCAGATAAGAGACCCATACAAACAGCAGAAAGAGGCAATCCTACTTTATTAAAGGTCAGACACTGAACTTGTGCATTTGCCTTTTGCATAGTCTTCAACATAATCAGTGGCAACCTTACTTCAGAACTTACATTTATTGCTGGAAGCTTAAGTCTTGCAGGCTGTAACATCTTCTCAATGGTAACTAGTACTTGGCAACAAATCCATCCTTGCCTATGATATACACAGCCCGAGAATGAATGTAATAATAGTAACCACATGGATCTGACTACAGGTAGATTTATGAGATCACTACCCATGTAAGTCAGCCAAAAAGGAAGGATTTTGCAAGGTAACTTGACCTGCTGCCAAACTTAAAGGTGCAAAATGACAACGACTATGGAACACATTTATAAAAAATTCAACCATGGGATGCATGTGTTTCACAGTGAAAATTGCTAAAAAGAGAAAGTGCTGAGGAAGCTGAAAGGTCTGAAGGTGGATAAAATCACCTGGACCAGATGAACTACACCCCAGAGATCTGAAGGAGATAGCCAAGGAGATTGTAAGGCATTGGTGGTGATCTTTCAGGAATCACTGGAGTTTGGAATGGTCCCAGAGGACTGGAAAATGGCTAATGTAACACGCCTGCTCAAGAAGGGAGGGAGGCAGAAGACAGGAAACTATAGTCCAGTTAGCCTGACCTTGGTTGTTGGTAAGATTTTAGAATCCATCATTAAGAATGCAATTGTGAAGTACTTGAACTGCATGGTAAAAAAGGGCTCAGTCAGCATGGCTTTGTCAAGGGGATATAATGCCTGACAAGTCTCTCAGAATTCTCTGAGGGTGTAACAAACAAGTTGGACGAAGGAGAACCAGTGATTGTGATCCGTTTGGATTTCCAGAAGGCCTTTGATAAGGTGCCGCACAGGAGGCTGCCAAACAAGATAACAGCCCATGTGTTAGTGACAAGATACTGGCATGGATAGAGGATTAGCTGAATAGCAGAAGGCAGAGAGCAAGGATAAAGGGGTCTTTTGCAGGACGGTAGCCAGTGACTAGTGTAGTTCTGCAGGGTCAGCGTTAGGACTATAACTATTCACGTTATACACTGGGAGTTCTAGTTCAGGATTCTGTTAAATGTTAACATGCTGGTTCAGTTGGCAGTAAGGAAGGCAAATGCAGTGTTATCATCATTACAAGAGGGCTAGAATACAAAGCCGAAATGTACTGCTGAGGCTGTGGTCAGATCACATTTGGAGTATTGTGAGCAGTTTTGGGTTCCATATCTAAGAAAGGATGTGCTAGCATTGAAGGGGTGTCCACAGGTTTACAAGAATGATCCTGGGGATGAAGGGCTTGTCGTATAGAGGTTGAGGACTTTGGATCTGTACTTGATGGGGTTCAGAAGGATGAGGGGGAATCTGATTGAAACTTACAGAATACTGACACCTGGTTGAGAGGACGTGGGGTAGATGTTTCCACTAGTAGAAGAGACTAGGGCCTCAGGGCTCAGCCTCAGAGTGAAGGGATGACCCTTTAGAATTGAGATGAGGAGGAATTTCTTCAGCCAGAGGGTAGTGACTCTGGGGAACACATTGGTGAAGAAGGCTGTGGAGGCAAAGTCATTGAGTGCATTTAAGACATGGATATTTAGATTCTTGATTGGTAAAGCGATCAAGGATTCCAGGGACAAGGCAGGGAATGGGGTTGAGAAATATAATGATCATGATTAAAAGTTGGTGCAGACTCAATGGGCTGAATAGCCTAATTCTAATCCAGTATCTTATGGACATGTGATGGAGCTGGCTGGATCAGCATTGACTGTCCATCCCTAGTTACTTTGGAGAAGGAGATGATGAATTGTCTTCTAGAATTGGAGACCTGAAATGTAGGTACACCCACAGTAACTATCAGGAAGTGAGTCCTGGGATTTTGAACCAGTGACAGTACGTGAACAGCAATATTGTTCCAAGTCAGGATGATGTGTAACATGCAAGGAATTTGTAACTAGTGGTGCTTCTGGCTGAAGTTAGATGCAAATGGGTCAGTTTTGTCTTTTGGACTAATGTTCTCACATTGTTGAGGATGTAGACATTGGTGGAGCCTCTTCCTCCAGCGAGTGGTTTTAATTGTCCACCACCATCATAACTGGATGTGGCAGGACTGCGGAGCATAGATCTGATCCACTGCCTGTGGGAACACTGATCCTCACCTACTGCCTGCTGCTAATACTATTTGACATGCATCCAGTCTAGTGTTGGTAGCTTCACCAGGTTGACACCTCATTTTTAAGTATGCACGGTGCTGCTCCAGGAATGCCCTCCTGCACTCTGCTTTGCAAACTTTATGAAGTCACGAGTACTACAGCTAAGTCTAAGAAAAGGAGATTTATCATCAAGGAACTAGCACAACTGAAGACAGTTCATTTTTAATTAAATGCATGCGAGCATTCACCAGGGTGAAATAGTATGTTGTCAGGGCCTAGAATTCCAGACGAACAGACTGATCTTAACAGGTTTATCAAAGGGTGTAGTAAAAAGCAATTTGAAATGGCCCATCAAATGTCCACTCAGGTGTTCGATCAAGTGTTGCAAAAAGTTGAAAATTACTACTTTGCTTGCTGCGGAGAGATATTGAAAATTACTAACTTTGTTGCAACAGTAAAACACACAAAATAAAATCCCTGGAAATAAGGTTCCAATCACCCTGGACCTGAAAGTCCGCCAGAGAGAAGAAATAAGATCTTTCCAGGGGGTCAGATTGCCTTTTGTTGAAAATCAGACACAAGAACACACAGGTAATTAAGACCTCAAATCTGCTCTTTTTAGTTACCAAACCTGGGCCACCAAACCAGGCACATTAAAGGACAGCACTAAAGACCATATACCCTGTTGGAAATAACTTCCTCCGCAGGTTCTAACATCTTTTGGCTGCAAGTGACTGGCAGTGAGTAAAGTTTAATTTCCTTTCCTTAAGCACCAGTGGAAGAAAAACAACTTGTGTAAGTATTTAAAGCGCACAGATTCACACCAATATCTGGTCCTACTCTTAGGACATAATACTTACAAAAAGCTGCAGGAACTTTAGGATCCGTTTATGAGTGAGGATATAAAGTGCATTTCCACTTATGGGGTCGATGACTGGCAACCGGTGGATCTTATTCTTTATGAGTGAATACACTGCATCAAAGAGGCTGAAAAAACAAAACAAGTTCAAGGTGAAGGCAAGGTAACAAGTTACTGAAGAAGTGTGAGCCATGCCTCAATGGCAGCATTCTTGTCTCAGTCAGAAGTTCCATTTCAGAGACCTGAGCAGAAAATCTCGGCTAATACTCCAGCGCAGTATGGAGTAAGTGCTACATTCTCAGCTATGTCACGACACTGAGGCTCCATGTATCCTCTGAAGTGGATTCAAAAGAACCTATGACCCTTTCTCAAAGAGGGACAAGGAAAATCTCCTCAGTGCTCTGACCAACGTTTTTTGGTTGATTCTCGGGCTTGATGGTAACCCTGGTAACGCCAGGCCATGAGGTTGCAACTTCTGTTTGAGTGCAATTCTGCTGCTGATGGACAATAGTGCTCTAGCATGACCAGAATCAACTATGACAGACTGCTGGCAGATGCTGATATGGCAATTTTATGGAGTTCACTGCATAAATGAAAAATGTACATGTAATTTAGAAGCACCTAGAGGACAATTCCATGCAGGCTAGCTCCTGTTCTTTCCTCGAGGCTCTGTGTTGGATTGTTCCATAGGCAGGTGGCAGGTTCATTGACCAGATTCCTTTATTAGGCAGTACATGACAGACTGCATTCTCGGCCCTACAAATACTGTACTCTATAACCCAAAATAACATCTCTGTATCATAATGGAAAGGAATCTCATTCTCTTCAGAAATTCCAGATAAGTTAAAAAAGATTCTGTTGATACTTAATGATTGAAAAGTGAAGACTGACACATATACCAACAAGCAGTAAACAGAATGGATCAGTAATTGAAATAACTGCCCTAAATTCAAAACAATTGTCAATAACTGAATGAAGTCACAACATTTACTTATGTTTGAATTAAATGATTAGGCCCCTCCTTCAAGAAATCCACTGTTTCTACAGACCCAAACAAATTGCTATCAAAGTGATGTTGGGATATAATCTCAAACAGAAGCATGTGCTAGAAGCAACGGCAGAACCTAACACCAAGCTAAACTTTAGAATTTAAAAAAAAAACATTTGTCAGGTTTGTGCCCTGTCGAGAAATCCTTTGAGTAAAAAGTTTACAAAGTGCAACCCTTTAGATTTCCTTGAAAATATTTGCCAGCTGAAGTGGAAAATTTCATTTAAGTCTTTTGTCTTGGGTGGAGGGGGGGTGGGGGTTGGGGAGATCGTGGGAGGAAGTAATCCAACTAATGTTAACCAGAAAGTCAAAGTGACAGCACATAATGGTTTTAGCTTGTCCCCTCCAAAAGCCGCTCTCATGGTATTCATTCTGCCCCTCTATAATCCCTGAACTGTTTTCTTGCTGGACCTAGCCTTTACAGACTAAGTGCAGCCACACCAGCTCTTCCACTTGTAACACTACCGCAGACTTAAAAGCATTGCCGGTAAAGACAAATAAAGAACCTCAGTTGAGCTAAAAACTATGCAAAGTGGTTTGCCTACCTTGCATCTGGCGTTATGTTCACTAAAGGCTTAAACGTTTCTTGTAAATAAAGCTCTGAAGAAGGAGAAAAAAAGGATACAAAAGGTCAACTACATAAGGAAATGTCAGACTCCAAATTAAAGGCAATATTGTTCAAAAAACTATAGGTAGGTAAAAGGATGCAAATGTCAAGCACTATAGACATGGACTCTCACTTCCCTTTTCAGAGGGCTCCCAAAAGTGGCTAACCAGACTGAAACTCAAATTGTTAACAATTGAGTAGAAGACAAAATTACCCAAAACTAGTTTTTATTTGATAGGGGCAGGAAGAATGATGAAATTTATCTTATTGAAGAAACATATGACATTTGGAAACAAGCTGGGATGACTCTCATTTTCCATCATCTCTTCATCAAGTCTATGATCCCCTCATCAAGTGTAACAGCGGTGCTAAAAGTACATAACTTAAAATTCTTCAGGAGTCCTGTTGTATAGAGATTCCTGGCTCATATTCCACAAACCTTCAAAGTCATCTTTATGTCATTTCAAATTATATTAAGCTTCTCTGGTAGCTGAATATAACTGAGTGGAAAACACTCATCTTTATTGAAACAGAAAATAGGAGCTGGATTAGCCCATTACACCATCTATCCTGCTCCAGATTCAATTCGACCACTGCCAAACTCTTTCCAAACACCGTATTCCCACTCTCTCCCCATACTCCTTGAAAAGTGGGTCAGTTAGCTCAGTTGGCTGGTGTCTGGTTTGCCTACAAAGTGACACCAACATCATGGGTTCAATTCCTGCACACAGTCTCGCATTCTTAGCCTCTCCCTTTGCCTGAGGCATGGTGATCATAGAAGCATAGAAAATAAGTGTGGGAGTAGGCCATTTGGCCCTTCAAGCTTGAACATTCATTCAATATGATCATCATTGATCATGTATCCTATTCCTGCTTTCTCTCAATTCCTTTAGCTGCAAGGTCCATGGCCAACTCCCTCATGAAAATATCTAACGAACTGGTTGCAACAGCTTCCTGTGGTAGGGAACTCCACAGGTTCACAACTCTCTTAGTGAAGACATTCTTCCTCATCTCAATCCTGAATGGCTTACCCCTTATTTTTAGACTATGATCCCTAGTTCTGGACTTTCCAACATCTTACATCTATCCTGTCCAGTCTTATCAGGATTTTATATGTTTCTATGAGATCCCCTCCTCAGTCTTCTAAATTTCAATGAGTACAGGTCCATTCGATCCAGTCTTTCTTCATATGTCAGTCCTGCCATTCCGGGAATCAGTCTGGCGAATTTCGCTGCACTCCCTCAATAGCAAGAATGTCCTCCCTCAGACTAGGAGACCAAATACTGCACGTAATTCTCAAGGTGTGGCCTCACCAAGGTCCTGTATAACTGCAGCAAGACATTCCTTACTCTGATACACAAATCCTCTTGCTATGAAGGCCAGCATGCCATTAACTTTCCTCTTGCCTGCTGCAACTGCATGCCAACCTTCAGTGACTGTTCTACCATGACACCCAGCTCTCATTGCGCCTCACCTTTTCCTAAACTACCACCAATCAGGTCATAAAAACTGAAAGAACTGCGGATGCTGTAAATCAGGAACAAAAACAGAAGTTGCTGGAAAAGCTCAGCAGGTCTAGCAGCATCTGTGAAGAAAAAAAAAAATCAGAGATAACGCTTCAGGTCCGAAAACTCTGAATTTTTCTTCACAGATCCTACCAGACCTGCTGAGCTTTTCTGGCAACTTCTGTTTTTGCACCATTCAGATAAAAATCTGCCTTCCTGTTATTGTGACCAAAGTGGATAACCTCACATTTATCCACATTATATTGCATTTTCCAAGTATTTGCCCACTTAGCCAGTCTGTCCAAGTCACCCTGCAGCCTCTTAGCATCCTCGTCACAGCACATACTGTCATACAGCTTAGTGTCATCTGCAAATTTGGAGACATGGCATTCAATTCCTTCATCCAAATCATTAATGTACATTGTAAGCAGCTGGGGTCCCAGCACTGAACCCTGCAGCACCCCACTCACACTGCCTGCTGCTCTGAAAAGGATCTGTTTATTCCAACTCTCTGTTATCTGTCTGCTGAACAGCTCTCTATCCACATCAATAAATTACCTCCGAAACGTGAGCTTTAATTTTGCTTACTAATCTCTTGTGTGAGACCTTGTCAACAGCCCTTTGGAAGTACAGATCCACAACATCCACTGATTTACCCTTGTCCACTCTGCATTTGTCAAGCATGATTTCCCTTTAGTGAATCCATGCTGACTCAGACTGATCCTGTCACCACTTTCCAAATTGCTCAGTTATTACATCTTTAATAACGACTCCAGCATTGTCCCCACCACTGATGTCAGGTTAACCAGCTTATAATTCCTCGTTTTCTCTCCCTCCTTTTTTAAAAATGGGGTTACATTAGCTACCTCCAGTCCATTGGATCCTCATGTTAAACTCACTAGGAGTCATCCTTCATCTAATGAAAGAGTCCACTAGCATTATAGTGACTTTATCAACCTCTTTAATTTTTTGGCACTTGAAATCCACTTCTTTAAGTACTTTCAGTGATTTGGCCTCCAGTCATCCATGACAGTGAATTCTACAAGTTCATCACCCTTTCAGTAAAGAAATTTCTCCTCATTTCAGTCCAAAATGGCCTATCCCATATTCTGGGACTGTGACCCCTTCTTCTGGAACCTCTCCCCAGCCACAAATGGAAATGTGGAGTTGAGGCATCAACTCTGACCTCACGCAAGGCTCACAGGGTCTAGTCCTGTTCCTCAGGCTTATGCTTCTTAAACTTGAATCTGCACCCCTAAAGCAGAACTCCGAGAAAAGTTCAGCATCTTCAGGATTGGGGGAAATAGAAGAAACTGGAAAAATTACTCAATTCCCTAAAAATATAATCACTTAACCAAACAAACATTCAAACTAAAGTTACTCATTATTAATATGGATCTACATGAAGCATACATTTTACCCCTGCAATATGACATTTAACCTAAAATTGATATAGATCTGGGATGCTTAGAGTAGCACATCTGGACCCTGTCATAGGCTGTCTGAAAACTCTCATTCTTACTCTGAGGATATTCCAAACAGAATTCCATTGCTTTAAATGAGCAAAGCCTTAGTGAACCCATCTATAAAATCCACTGGGATGTCCTACAGTAATATACAACTACACAAGATTAAAAGCAGTCAGGCAGCAATTTAACATCAATGACTTTTATTTCATATTCACTCACAGGACTTGGGCATTACTGGCTGGCCAGTATTTATTCCCTGTCCCCAGTTGCCCTTCTTAAGGTGAGCTACCTTCTTAAACTGCTGCAGTCCACATGCAGCGGGTTGACCCACAATTCCATGAGGGAGGGAATTCCAGGAATTTGACCCAGCAACACTGAAGGAACGGTGATATATTTCCAAGTCAAGATGGTGAGTGGCTTTTTGATTTATTATTGTCACACGTATCGAGATACTTTTCTCTGTATCATTTTGCATGCTATCCAGACAAGTCATACTTTACGTAAGTATATCAGGATAATAGAACAGAATGAAAAATATAGCGTTACAGCTACAGAGGAGGTGCAGAGAAAGGTCAATTGTAATATAGGAGAGGTTGGAGGGGAACTTGCAGGTGGTGTGCCATGTATCTGCTGCCCTTGTCCTTCTAGATGGAAGCGGTCGTGGGTTTGGAAGGTGCTATCCAAGGGCCTTTTCTAAATTTTTGCAGTGCATCTTGTAGATAGTACACACTGCTGCTACTGAGTGTTGGTGGTGCAGGGAGTGGATGCTTGTGGATGTGATGCCAATCAAGTGGGCTGCTTTGTCCTGGATGATGTCAAGCTCCTTCAGTGTTGGTGAAGCTGCACTCTCCACGCAAGTGGAGAGTATTCTATCACACTCCTGACTTGTGCCTTATAGATGGTGGACAGGCTTTGGGGAGTCAGAAGGAGTTACATGCCTCACTATTCCTAGCTGCTGATCTGCTTTTGTAGCTATGTTTTTGTGACGAGTCCAGTTGAATTTCTGATCAATGGCAACCCCATTGATGCTGATAGTGGGACATTCAGTGATGGTACTGAATATCAAAAGGCGATGATTATATTGTCTCTTATGGATAATGGTTAGTACCGGGCATTTGTGTGGTGCAAAAGTTACTAGCCACTTGTCAGCCCAAGCCTGAATAGTGTCCAGACCTTGCTGCATTTGTACATGAATTGATTCAGTATCTGAGGAACTGTGAATGGTTCTGAACATTGTACAATCATCAGTGAACATCTCCAGTTATAACTTTATGATGCAGGGAAGGTCATTAATGAAGCAGCTGAAGATGGTTGGGCCCAAGACATTACCCTGAGGAACTCCAGCACAGATGTCCTGGAGCTGAGATGACTGACCTCCAACAACCACAACCGTCTTCCTATGCACCAGGTATGACTCCAATGAGCAGAGAGTTTGCCCCCGATACCCATTGATTCCAGTTTTGCTTGGACTCCTTGATGCCACACTTGGTCAAATGTGGCCTTGATGTCGAGGGCTGTCACTCTCACCTCACCTCTGGAATTCAGCTCTTTTGTCAGTGTTTGAACCAAGGCTGTAATGAGATCAGGAGCTGAGTGGCCCTGGCGGAACCCAAACTGGGCATCACTGAGCAGGTGCTGCTTTATAGCACTGTTGATGACACTTTCCATCACTTTACTGATGATCGAGAGTAGACTGATAGGGCGGTAATTGGCAGTGTTGGATTTGTCCTGCTTTTAGTGCATAGCGCATACTTGGACAATTTTCCACATTGTCAGGCAGATGCCAGTGTTGTGGCTGTACTGGAATAGTTTGGCTAGGGGAGCGGCACATTCTGGAGCACATCATAGAAACATAGAAGATAGGAGCAGGAGGAGGCCATTTGGCCCTTCGAGTCTGCTTCACCATTCTTCACAATCATGGCTGATTATCCAACTCATTAACCTAACCCTGCTTTCTCCCCATAACCTTTGATCCCATTCACCCCAAGTGCTATATCTAGTCACCTCTTGAATACATTCAATG